CTGCCCGCTCCCAGCCACGCGCCGCGATGTCACGGGGCTTGAGGCCGAACTCCTCCACCAAATGCCGCCGCTCTACGCTCGCCTGAGGAAACCGTGCCATGGGTGTGTCGTACCGGGCACCACCAAAAGTGTTGGTTTCATTTGAGTTGCCCGTCCTTTCGGATGCCGAAAAATAATAACCTACTTTGCTGCAGCACGCACGTGGGTAAAACACCCCAAATGACCATCCTGACTGATTTTTGACTGTGAAATAGTCGCCGTACATGCCTAGCTCTGACCGTCTGCTGAGAACATAAACAGCCACCAGAAATAACTGCTCCTCATGGCGATATAATATTGTTGGGAAACTACAACTCATGGCTGTCCAAGATGATTCTTGTTCAACTGCTGATGGCCACACCTCAGCCAGGTTCCGACCACGGCACACACCTGTGTCTGTCCGTCTGAAGCACATGCTGGCTGTCTCAACTCAGAGTGCTTAAGTCTCAACCTCAAGAAGAAACCCTGCCAGTCCGTACCAGCTACATCGCAGCGGCCTCCAAGTCGATGTCCCCGGAGGGCAGAAGAAGTGCTCCAGCGTAGCAGGTCGGTCGGTAGATGCTGGGCGGCAACGCCTGAGCTGTGCAAACCCTTGATAAGCCTTGGCATCAACTCCCGCAACAGGCCATTGGCTTTGCGTCGCTTGAGTGGCAGCTCGGTGGAGTTCAAGGCTGTGAGCGGAGATGCCAAATTTGCGTAGCAAGGAGTTGCCTTTACGTCAAGTTCAAAGACCCGCAGGATGCAATTGAAAATTGACGTCCGAGCAGACAGATATGCGGAGGCAACCGCAGCAGTGATGCTTAATTGGCATGTCCGGTGTCTTGCAAATGCCATCATATTGCGGCAAAAGAATCAGGATCAGGTGGCTGCTTCCAAAAGCAAGGCAATTTCTGCTGCATGAAGGAAACCGCGCCACCGGTTTTAGGGGCTTCCAGCTTTCGAAACACCCCGATTCCATTCTTTCAGCTGCTCCAACAGGTTGCCTATTCCACATCCTCTCACATGCCCTTCGCATTTTGTTCGACCAAGGCCATGCGTTTGGATGCTTCACAATGGTTTGGCCCAATGATCACTGGCTGCCAAGTTCCCAGTTGAAGTTGATCTATTCCTGCCTCGCTCTTGGCAATTCTACCAAGGCGTTTAAACGGGTCTAACGAGGAAGGTAGCTCCACGGACTTACGGGTGTGCGGGTGTGTGAGTTTTGCAATGTGTGGGTGTGCGTGTCCATGCGCGCGCGTGGGTGTGTGGGTGTGGAAGCGTGGGTGTGTGCGTGTGTGTCCATGCGCGCGCGTGGGTGTGTGGGTGTGGAAGCGTGGGTGTGTGCGTGCGCGTGCGCGTGCGCGTGCGCGTGCGCGTGCGCGTGCGCGTGCGCGTGCGCGTGCGCGTGCGCGTGCAGGTGCCCGTGCAGGTGCGGCTGCGGGTGCGGGTGCGGGTGCGTGTGCGTGTGTCTCTGTGTCTCTGTGTCTCTGTGTCTCTGTGTCTCTTTGTCTCTGTGTCTGTGTCTGTCTGTTTGTGTCTGTCTGTCTGTGTCTGTCTGTGTCTGTCTGTCTGTGTGTTGTGTGTCTGTCTGTCTGTCTGTCTGTCTGTCTGTCTGTCTGTCTGTCTGTCTGTCTGTCTGTCTGTCTGTCTGTCTGTCTGTCTGTCTGTCTGTCTGTCTGTCTGTCTGTCTGTCTGTCTGTCTGTCTGTCTGTCTGTCTGTCTGTCTGTCTGTCTGTCTGTCTGTCTGTCTGTCTGTCTGTCTGTCTGTCTGTCTGTCTGTCTGTCTGTCTGTCTGTCTGTCTGTCTGTCTGTCTGTCTGTCTGTCTGTCTGTCTGTCTGTGTCTGTCTGTCTCTCTGTCTGTCTGTCTGTCTGTCTGTCTGTCTGTCTCTCTGTCTCTCTGTCTCTCTGTCTCTCTGTCTCTCTGTCTCTCTGTCTCTCTGTCTCTCTGTCTCTCTGTCTCTCTGTCTCTCTGTCTGTCTGTGTCTGTCTGTCTGTCTGTCTGTCTGTCTGTCTGTCTGTCTGTCTGTCTGTCTGTCTGTCTGTCTGTCTGTCTGTCTGTCTGTCTGTCTGTCTGTCTGTCTGTCTGTCTGTCTGTCTGTCTGTCTGTCTGTCTGTCTGTCTGTCTGTCTGTCTGTCTGTCTGTCTGTCTGTCTGTCTGTCTGTCTGTCTGTCTGTCTGTCTGTCTGTCTGTCTGTCTGTCTGTCTGTCTGTCTGTCTGTCTGTCTGTCTGTCTGTCTGTCTGTCTGTCTGTCTGTCTGTCTGTCTGTCTGTCTGTCTGTCTGTCTGTCTGTCTGTCTGTCTGTCTGTCTGTCTGTCTGTCTGTCTGTCTGTCTGTCTGTCTGTCTGTCTGTCTGTCTGTCTGTCTGTCTGTCTGTCTGTCTGTCTGTCTGTCTGTCTGTCTGTCTGTCTGTCTGTCTGCGTGTCGTGTCGTGCGTGCGTGCGTGCGTGCGTGCGTGCGTGCGTGCGTGCGTGCGTGCGTGCGTGCGTGCGTGCGTGCGTGCGTGCGTGCGTGCGTGCGTGCGTGCGTGCGTGCGTGCGTGCGTGCGTGCGTGCGTGCGTGCGTGCGTGCGTGCGTGCGTGCGTGCGTGCGTGCGTGCGTGCGTGCGTGCGTGCGTGCGTGCGTGCGTGCGTGCGTGCGTGCGTGCGTGCGTGCGTGCGTGCGTGCGTGCGTGCGTGCGTGCGTGCGTGCGTGCGTGCGTGCGTGCGTGCGTGCGTGCGTGCGTGCGTGCGTGCGTGCGTGCGTGCGTGCGTGCGTGCGTGCGTGCGTGCGTGCGTGCGTGCGTGCGTGCGTGCGTGCGTGCGTGCGTGCGTGCGTGCGTGCGTGCGTGCGTGCGTGCGTGCGTGCGTGCGTGCGTGCGTGCGTGCGTGCGTGCGTGCGTGCGTGCGTGCGTGCGTGCGTGCGTGCGCACGCGTGCGGGCGCGTGCGGGCGTGGGTGGGCGTGGGTGGGTGGGTGGGTGGGTGGGTGGGTGGGTGGGTGGGTGGGTGGGTGGGTGGGTGGGTGGGTGGGTGGGTGGGCGGGTGTATATATATGTATATATATATATATGTGTTTGTGTGCTTGTGTGTGTGTGTGTGTGTTCGTGTTTGTGTGTGTGTGTGTGTCTGTCTGTGTGTGTGTGTGTGCGTGTTTGCTTGTGCGTATGCGCTTGCGCGTGCGCGTGCGCGTGCGTGCGCGAGGGTGCGTGCGCATGTGCGTATGGGTATTCATGTGCGCGTGTCTGTGTGTGTGTGTCTGTGTTTGTGGGAAGATAGCCTTTGCGAGAAGCACTCGGTCGAATCAGCGTCCCCTGCCTTCATCCGAGGAGTTGGCATCGTGGCCTGAGGACCAGATCTGCGGACGGAACCAAAAGCCCCACAGTTGGCTGCCCGTTGTTTAGTTCATTGCGGAAAAACAATCACAGGGATACCAACACAAACGACATGTTTTGTCCAGTGGGGAAATCCATGTAACAACCTGGCCTAGGCTGAGGCATTTCATAGTGGATGGTTCAGAAGCCGGACAAGCCAAAACAGCAAAGGTGCAAGACAGCAAAACCAAGAACGAGAAAAGGCAAGAAACAATGCACAATATAGAAAATAGAAAAGAATGGGAACAGAGTACAACCTCGCACAAACAGAGCCCCGATATTTTTTTCAACAAGGATGGACAACTCCCGTGACTTCCAACGAGCACTGAGACTGCGGCCGCCTTTGCCGCCTGCTGCGCGGCCCAAGCCGCCAAGGGCCATGCAAACACCATGGCGAAGATGCCACCCGCGCGGCGCATGGAGTCGCGATGGCGCCACTTTGTAGGGTGAAGCGGATGAAGCGGAAGCGATGTGAGCTGCGACCAAAAGTTGGGCGGTTTGGATATTGGTGCACCCCAAACATTAAACAATGCGTCTACGGGGAAAAACATTTGTGAGGCTATCTGCCAGCAGAGGCCAAGGCATGGTGCTCCTGTTGCTCGCTCCAGCAAGGGGCAACATGACTGTGGACGACCACTCCTCAGCTTGAAGTTGCTCTTCACAAAGCACCTCTGCAGTATGCTAGAAATGCAAAAGAGTCTACATTCACTGCGCACACTTGTGATATGGTTATCGGGGCTGCAAGACCCGAAACTGCAGAATCTGCCACAGTCGTGCACATGTGGGGGGGGCTGCAAGCTATATGCTCAGCTGAGCCTAACCTTTAAGCACAACGCTGGGCGGGCAGGGCGCAGGCGGATATCAAATTCTAAACACACCATGTGCGGCTTGGACATGCGGGGAACAGCAGGCATCTAATGGCCAAAGGTGGCCATTCACTTTAGACAACAGGTTGAGCAAAGTCACCTTGAGATTCCACCAGGCCAAATGCCTCGTGATCCCAAGAGCCGTTATCAAACACTGGTCAATTGTCAATCTCTGTACGCTATACCCAAAAAGGGATTTAAGCCGACCACGCTCTTGCAATCAATGAGCTTCCGGTAGAAGACTCCCAAAACGGATACGGCCTGAATCTATGCACAGCAAGGATTGCTTTACCTCAAACAACTGCATCTAGATTGAACACCACAGCCAAATTTCGATAAATTCCAAATTCGCTGCAGAGAGCAGCAACACCTTCTGCATAAGAATGCAACTTGCGGCTTGGCGGTCACAGCATCCTTCACCAAGTACAACGAACTTGCCACAAACCCAACAGCTCAGCTCAGAATCAATTGTGCAAGACGCCGCAATTCAAGACCACAACTGTCAAATTGATTTATCATAACTCGCCTAACCTGATGGCAGTTCCTAAGTTGAAACAGCAATCGCCAAACCGGCATGGTCTCACAACATCTGGGGCTGTCCATTGGCCAAGTACATCCTGCCGCTGCAGTTAGGAGCAAAGCTCGTGTTGATGCAGGGCTTGCAAGAATCCTTGCTATTCCTGCTTGCGTGGTTGGTGAGCATTGGCTCACTTCAAACAATTTTCACTGCATCTCACTTCGTGTTTCTGACCCTCTCTCAGGCATGCCTCGGTGAGCGATTCCTTATTGCCCAGCTGATCGGCGAAGGTCAATTTGTGGCTGCTGGTCTGGCGTCAGTCGCTCATGCCGTGAGCCATGCCGTCTGGACTGGAATCCCTCCATGTCTTCGTGTCCTGCATGTTTGCAACCTCGAAGGGTTGGGGCCCGTGTCGCTATGTGTGGCATCCTTTTGCATGCAGAAAGCACAATGTGCTATGGTAGGAGCTCATCAGATCAAGCCAACCAAATCGCCAGGAATTTGAAGGTCCGCAACGCACCATACATGTAATTGCTTGCATGGTGCTGATTGTGGCAAGCCTCTTGACTTGATTCTGATCTGCCCGAATTTCGGCAGGTAGTGTTGTTGTCATTGCTGGTGTTTACGGGACTGGTGACTGACTTCTAGTTGGTGAATGGTGGGTGGTGCTTTGTGTGCTGTGCGTACAATTGTGCACATCCTTCTCATTCCATCGCAGCGTTACATTCGCCACGCTGCAAGCTGCCGAAGCCAGCGACATGCAACACGTGCAGGCCGGTGTGCCTGGCCCTTCTTGATGGTGTTGCCTTTTCTATCCTTGCGGGTACCTCGCACACAAAGGGGCGAGCATCATATCCTCGGCTCCTTTGCCAGCTGAAGAGGCCGATTATGGCCACATGAGGGTGGAAAGCACTAGCAAAACCTTGATGAAGAATGCATTTCTTTCTCTCTAGGCGACCAAACAGAGTCTGGCTTGGCGCTTTGCGGCGGCTTCTGGCAACCCCCCGCGCACCGTTCGGCGATGTCCCAGAGAGCGCCGACTTCACCGACATGCCGCCATTGGACTTCTCGCCCTGCGAGGGTCACGTCCATGTGGCTTTGCATCGGGTTGTTCTCCCGTTGAAACAAAAGATACTGTAGCAACACAGCACATTGATGCTTCTGCAATGCATGGAACCAACATCCATACTGCGCCTTGCTCTGCCTAATGTCTGATGAGCAACCGATTCCAGCAGGTGCTACTCTTCTTGTTGAGGAGCGAGTTTTTGAAGAAAGGAATGCGCAAAGACTCCCTCTGCTGTCCTAGGTGAATAGCATCGCACATTGGCCCCGACTCAACCCAAAACGAAGTGGGCTTTTGCAAAACAAACAGGTCATTCCGGACTTGCAGCACAGGTGGCAAGATAGAGGGCAGTGGAAAACACATCACAAGCGCGCAATCATACGGTGGGCAAGGCATGTAGCCTCTTCCCGAGAGATTTGTATTGGCACTCCCAATCCCGCGGTTGCCCATCCTTGCCCACGCTGCCAACAGCGAGTAGCTTCGCCAGCGCAAACAAGCGTCACTTGTGGCCAAGTCAGCCCACAGGGCAGAAGTACGGTCAAAAAAGATTTGTTGTACGCACTTCACACACACACACGCGCCCGCGCTGGAGATAACATGCTAGCCTGCCCGAAGTCTGCTGAAAGGAATCATGCGGTGATGGACATCCATGACGTATACATTGAGCGCATTAGTGGTCGTCCCCATGAAATACACTGCCGATTTGTCAGCTTGTCAGAAATAAGGGATCGGACACCCTTCAAAGCAGCTCTCCCGATCCAAATGTAAACACTGTACAAAAGCCACCACAGCCCCACAATTGCCGGCTCATTGTGGGAGACGTTTAGGTTCTCGTGGATAGGGTGACACAAAGGGTTCTCCTATGGCTTTGGTGACTTCATGTCGCGGGAATCAAAACGCGGTTCCCGTAGCTGTAGTACCATGCCCTCGTGAATCTCAGTGCTCAAAAGTGCCGGGATCATAATCAAGAGGACTGTTGCATTGGTAACGTGCTCTCCCACCAAAAAAGCAGAATGCTGCCCATGTTTAATTCCGGTCCCAGTTGCAACACATTTGATATGTCAGGCGTTCCGCTCGCCAAATGTCAATTCCAACTCCCCCATCTCGCTCGGACAAAATCAGGCCTCAGACTTTGCACCAACGGAGGTGACCCCGGCCGACATTGCCTCGATTCGACCACACTCTAACGAGCGGTTCTGGATGGTTCCGGGGTTGGGTTTAGGGACAGCTGACACGGCTGGATTTCAGGGGTAGCTGAAGAGCTCCGTAATAGCTTTGTGCGGAATCGGGAAAAGCTCGCCAATAGCAGCGGGTTTTGGGCCAAGGCCAACAGCTCGACCTTTGTGGAATTTCCTGATATCCAAGGAGTGGACAGGGGGTGAACCAAATAAAGCACCCAATTCATGATCCATGCTCATCATCGACAGAATCGACATGCCATAAAGCCCACTTCAAGATGAGCCCGTGGCTCAGTCGATCAAGCACCGAAAATCAGAAGATAAACAAGCCGCGCCACTCACCCAATTTAGCGTCACGCGATGGGAACAATCTCCTCTTCACCTCTTAGTCGCCTTTCAAGCCCGCTACCAAGATCTGGCTTTTCCTGGAACTATCCCAAATGTATCCTAAGCCCTAGACAAATCCCGGGCTTTTCATGGCTCCCAGAATCGGCACCCTTCGTTCGACCCCGGATCCCTGAAATGCTTTGCCCCCCGCCAAGCTCGATTTGCGCACCTCTCCTACGCCCTTGTCCTTTGTTACCCAGAAAAAAAATACTGAAGCGGCTCCTTGATATCAAACATAGACCATGCGTCATTCAAGTGTTCTCTCAGCGCTGATTCAGACCGTTGATCGCGCCCCCCCTTCAATATGAAAGCCTGCTTGGTGATGACCGCATCTTGGCCAAAGTACAAACCCGGTGACCACCATATTTTTAAACAGCACCCTCAAGTCGGGTGATGTGGGACTGTCTATTTGCACTCTTAGCAACTCAGCTAGCCTGAACCGGGACACCTTCTCTGTAACTGCAGCCTTCGCGACAATCGGGGCCATACATTTTAGTAGGGAACGCCCTCAAAATGGCTAGTGGACATCAAGCCCCATGCACATTCTGCACAGCGCCTGTTGTGATCAACTTGAACAAACAGTCGAGCCGTTAAGCACACGCATTAGGACATTGCCGCTAGCTGCACAGAAACTTCCCTTTTTTGCCCCGAGGCTAAAACAAGGAAATGTGGATTCGCTCAAACGGGCACTCAGATTGAGTTGGATGCTTCTGGACCAGAAAAAGAACCAGCCCTATCACCGTCCCTAATACCAGCCAATACCCTCCCCCAGGCTAACATGGAAGCTCCCAGAACCCCTTTGGAAGACTTGATTCCATTTACCGAGGCCTTCTGGGAGCTTCCACGTTTGTCTGAGGGAGTGTAGGGAATGCGCCAAACCGGCTCGTATCAGCCGTGGCGCTCCAAAGGATTTCTCCCTGGGCACTGATGACGCGGACTGTGGGGAGGTCGGCGACGCCTCCGGGCCTCAATTTGACGTTAATTTTATATGAGCCAGGTCTCCTCTACAAAACATTGCCAAACTCAGTGAGTCCTCCCATGGTTTTGCTGGGGAAATTGAGTGAGTCCAACGCCCCTAACAAAAACTTCCATACCTCAGCCCTAAGTTCCCGCCTGGCAAGAGCCAAGTGTCAAAGACTGGCGGTGCATCCACGTGTTTTGCTGGTTCGATTTTGATTCCTTCTACTTGTGCTTTACGTTTTCCACCTGAAAGGTCCCCTCACTCGGAAGATGCCCATAAATCAGGAAATGGGACATCATTGATGCACTTTCCATTGAAAGGCAAATAACAAGGATCAAGCCAGGGTTTTGTAGCCGATGCATACTGTTCAATCCCACTCACATGGAGTCATTTAAATCTTTTTCGAGGTCCGATGCTTGTGGAATGACATGTCAAATAATAGCCAGAACGTAGCACACCAAGCTTCAATGACTTGCCAAATGACACAACGAGATTCCTAAGGCTGATGGACAAAATGTAGTGCCGAAACTTGGATCGTCACCTGCAACAGGCAAAAATGTAAGATCCTTGCAGCCCGATGCCGAGTTGAAGCGCTAATTCCCAGATAGAGCTGCTACTTCAAGCGCTAGCCCGGGAGACGGGTACTTCGTGCTGAAAGCACAGCTCAGGAGTCATCAAACAGAACTGAAATCCTGTTCAACATTCTTCGGAGTAGCCACGTTGGCACAACGGTCGGCTTGCTAGGGACTCACAAAAACAAGCAAGCAGGATATGTCAAAGCTGCGCCGACCTTGCCCACACAGCTCGTGAGGGTTCTCGCCAGCAACCCACTTCTGGCAAACACAAGTTGGAGTCGGGGCATGCTGTTCCTTGCTACTTGCAATGGGGAGCATCCTGAGCGCATACCTCCCAGTCATCCTGAAGGCGACCCGGCCATTTTGTTTGCTCATCTTTTGCCTGGCGAGCCAAATAGCTGACTGGCGTGGGGACCAAAGCGAGTCAGCACCAAGCTCACAATCCAACAGCAATTGGTGTGTATATCATATATATATATATATATGTATATATATATGTACACATACATACACATACACATACAAACCACACACACATATACACATACAAAAACACATACAGGAACATATGCATATACAGCATATACATAATATATATATATATGTGTATGCTTACACGTGCAATATACATATAGACATTTAATATGCAACAAATATGTACGCAAGTGGGCAGGATCCGAGATCCCGGTGCACAAGCTCATCAAGAGCCGAGGCGTGGCCAGCCTTGCGTCAACACAACATGTATGCAATCTGCATGCATCGCGTCGAGATGTTGGCCTGACACCCCCGTGATTTAATGGAGGAGTCGTTGAACAGTGAAGATGATGGCCGTGTGCACATTCACGAGCAACGGGAAATGTGCAAACGCTTGAACCGCGCTAGTTTGGAGCCATTTCGCTATGCAACTTCGAGTGGGGAGGTTGCCCGAATGTTGCCCCATACTATTTCGATTCTGTCGACAACAGCAGCGCAGATGGCCCAGTGTATCCAACAGGCTGAAGATGCTCAGACATAGTTGCTAGGCAGAAATGACAAATGATGTGTCAACCGTGTTCAAGTTCATGATTTCCTAGACGCACACTGAGAGCACAGTAGTTGGTAAGCAGGTCAGGTCCGCAGTGCCAAGTATATACCTTTGCAATGCTTGCACACACACACACACACACACACACACACGCACGCACGCACGCACGCACGCACGCACGCACGCACGCACGCACGCACGCACGCACGCACGCACGCACGCACGCACGCACGCACGCACGCACGCACGCACACACACGCACACACACACACGCACACGCACACGCACACGCACGCACACGCACACGCACACGCACACGCACGCACACGCACACCCACACACACACACACATGCGCGCGCGCACACACACACACACATACACAACATACACACACACATGCGCACGCACGCGAGCACGCACACACACACAAACAAACAAACAAACAAACAAACAAACAAACAAACAAACAAACAAACACACAACATGCGCGCACACACACGCGCACTCGCACGCAGGCAGGCAGGCAGGCAGGCAGGCAGGCAGGCAGGCAGGCAGGCAGGCAGGCAGGCAGGCAGGCATGAACGCACGACAGGCACACACCCGCACGCAGAACTGCGAGAGAAAGGCTTCTTCCCAAACGACTCTGCCGACAGCGTGCGCGAACCCCCGATGCAGTGCCAGCCTAGTGCCAACCTGGCAAAGGCGGCATTGGGCCATTGGGGATTGAAAGAACTTTTTGGGCAAAATAGGGGGTCACTCGTAGTTGGCGAAACAGGCTTCGGTAGCCATTTCGACCAAAGTAAAAGCCTTCCTAACTCTGAGACGTACAAACATGGGCAAATTGTTCTGAAAACCAGAATCAAATCAAAGCATAGATATCATAGATGGAATAGTGCAGAGAATCAGATTGGGAAAGTCATGAAACAGCGTTGAGGACCAAGTCACATAAAACTGAGCCGAAGCCAGCACGAACAAAAAAAGAATCACACCACACGTCACATACACATACACACGCATCGTTTTTTTCTTTCTTTCTTTTTCTTTCTTTTTTTTTTTCGGTTTGCTCCTCATGTATGTGCATTGAGCATGACTCGCACCAAGCGTGAGCGCTTATGGCTCTCCCCCAAGCACAGTGGGCACACTCTAGGTTCGGATCGTGCGCTTGAGCTGTACAAGTGGAGTTCCGTCAACACACACACACACAGAGACACACCCACACCGTGTGCTTGTGTCCGCGCCTGCGTTACATCCTGTGTACAGAACTTGCTCCAAGTCCAATGAGAATAATGCTGCGAGTCTGTCAGTCATCAGACATGCCGCAACCTGCGCAAGTCTGCGCAATCAAGTAGAATGCATAGTCGAAAAAAGGCCAGACGACCAGTTCAAGCCATTCACTAGAGATGGGCAGTGTGGGAAGTTTGTGCTGGCTGGGCCTCGCAGCAAGCCATGCGGTTGCATCCATGCCAAGGCCATTCGGTGTCAGCTAGCCCCAGCGCAAGGTTTGAAAAGCCAGCTTCTTTGAGCACCAAACAGTGCTGGGCAACACTCGTGTTGTGCAGACATGTTTTCAGAACTAGAGCAGATGTTCCAAATAATTATGGTTGATTGGCAACCTCTTCATTGCACACCGGTCGAGAGCGAAAACAAAGCTCGCTACTGGCAAAAGCAAATGACTACGTACCTGCTTCATCTCAGAGCGTTGCTTGGAGCAAGTACTTGGTGTGTCCTCTGCCCATTCTACTTAAGGATCGCTTTCTGGGCTTTCGAAAGGCATTGAGAAAGCCTGCACCACACCACGGGGGATGATAGAACTTAAAATCTGTCGCAACACGCGGCAGCCCTCCCTGCCAGGCCTCGTTTTGCGAGACTTGCGCACTGAACGCGCCCGGTCTGGCTTCTCCGAATGCTGAAAACTGGAGGCTCGAACTCAGGACTGCTCAACATGGTTTTGACGTCTGATCAGCTTGTAGGATTTTCCGGTCTGTGGTGTCTGATTCGGCCGAAGATGCACCTAGTGCTTGATCACCAGGCGCTTGACAAGGGCATGCAGTGACCGAGTATGTACCATGCAACTGACACACGAAGACTCCACCTGAACAGGTGAACATCACTAAAAGAAATTGGCAAGTCCGAAACCCTGAAGTGAAAATCAACAACCCTGAGCTCCACTGCCTTGCTGTTATGTGCCTCTAGGTAACCAGCACGCGTCAGCTGCTTTGCTAACTAGCACCTGCGAACCCATGCCAAATCGGAGGGTCAGGCAGCTCCGCTTTAGAGACATGAACCGCCCAATGAAAACCTGTGAATAAAATTACCTAGCATCATAGTCTACGCTCACCCTTCGCAGAAAGCTGTCAAGCGGGAACAACATGCACTGAGCTGATCAAAGCTCTGCAAGATCATAAAGCGTTCGCTCTTTTCTTTTGCCAGCGGGTCGCAGGTTTGCCGGTGACCCAGTTGGGCTGACCTCGATCTGCATCCTCAGGCCCACTGCCTCAGCGTGGTCACCTCGGGTGGGCAAGCTGGGAAACAAACTGATTGGAACACCTCTTGGTGTCAACGCGAGTGAAATGTTGCTACTGGGCGGGGTTCGGTTTTGGGCGGCTCCTGCGATTCCTCGATGGCTCGCCTCGCTTGCTATGGGGGGGGATTGTGGTGTCCGGCCGTTCGCCCTTGAAAAAGGACTTTGATGAAAACTCGCTTCAACTGCAGGGGGAGGCCAAAATGCAGAACGCGCCTTGCATGTGCTACAAGACTAACGTTGGTATGCTTGATGTGTAGTTAAGAATGATATATAGAACGCGCTGCCAATCACCTGAGCAAGTGCTCAATGCAACACCAGCAACATCCGGCTGCTATTTGTCAGCCGTATCATAGGGGTGAGTGACAAAATGAAAGCATCTGCTTAGCGAATACCAATGCGAATTCTCACGACACGGCACAGCACCAAACATGGTCTACAAGTCACAACTGCAGCTGAAGCTGAGGTCGACCTTCACAGCTTGGAGAGTTATCCATCAAAACCATGTTCCTAAATCGATGATGGGTTAGATGCACACCGCCGCCCCTATGCAACATTGGATTGCCTGAGCTGATCTGGTACGATGCTGAAGTATTGGACAAATGCGCTTCTTTCCTGGCTGAGCGATGTGAATATGAAGCAAGCAGCCACAACACACCTCCCAACAGGGCAGAACAATCTCAAGCGCCTAACGTGTTCTGCGGCCTCCTCCAGAGGTTGTTGTCTAGCAAGTGGGGCTACAGAAAAGCTGATCTTGTGTGGCGTTGGTTGCTGATAGGATTCTGGTGCAAGAGCTCCTTGCCCACCAACCAAAAACCAAACACCCCTCCCTCTGACTTGTTGGGATGCAGAGTTATGATCAACCTTCCCCACCCCACAACGAGAAACGCACCACCAGCGCAATGCAATCGCCGGACGCACGCTGGCCTGCTGCGGCCAATTGCATCTTCTCATGGCATTCAGCCGAGCCAGACCTCCACCTCCCCTTGCAAATCGTTCGTCTGGTCGATCCACCCACGTCTAGTGGGAGTGCAAAGCGCCCTCTCCTGTGGATGGCGTGGAAGGAGCTCCGCGCAGGCCTCTCAATCAACTAAATCTTCCAGTTTGATGGGAGCTTCCATGTTTGCCTGGCGGGAGGGGGTGGACTATCAGCCAATGGGTGCCAAGACCACCGTGTGGGTATGGAGTGCCAAGATAAGTGACATCCATTCAGCAAATGCAAAGCGCTATCCACTGCCTTGGTAGCCAAGCGCAACAAATGCTGAAAGCTCTCAAGCCCAGGGTGCATTTTGGTTGTCTCTCGTTAAACAGGTATCCGGGCTACTGTAGCGCACATTGCGCAGGCGAAAGCGCATTGTCAAGACACAAATTGTGCATTTGCGCCGCAACAAGGGTTTCCCACATCCAGAGAGGGGTTCCTTGTTATCGCCCTTGACGGACAAGATGAACACGTACATCTCCAGGCATACCCAGCATATCCGGCAACCAGAAGACTTATCAGAGAGCAATAATTAGTGTTGGGGGTCGACTTCCCGCTGTCCGAATCCAACATCCAAGTCAACTATCCACCTCACAAACGTCACTCACTCAAACACATTTACCCAGGGCTTCTCCCTCCCGCCTCATTCAGCGCGAGAATTTGCACGTCGTCCACGGCGATCTGAAAGCTGGCCCCGGCGTTTGCTGTCCACGTCGCTTGAGACTCAGGAGGCACCTTACAAAAAAGCTAAAAGCAAAGAGACATAAAGAGACAGACGACAAAACCCTCTTCTTTGTTCCTTGATGTTTCTGGAAGCATAGCATGTGCTGCCCAAAGACGAGCAACCAAAAACTGGGTGGAGTTCACATTCAACGGAAAGTTTAAGCCTCTATACATTGAAAAGAGAGCGACGACTTGGTTTATTTTTCCGTGGCAAGACCATAAATTCTGGCCCCTGCTCAGCCCTCGCAAGCGTCCCTGCTCACCTCCAAGCTTTGCACGTCGTTGGTGGCCCACCAGTCCCTGGACATTCGTGGATTGATTGTGTGCCTTCAAGAGTGAATGTGGTGCACATGGCTGGTGAAGCAATCAGGATCCGGCTAATCGGCTTGCGGGGCCGCACGTGATGCATATATGGAACCTGAAGTGCGAGATGTGTTGCCTGCGAAGGTCAGCGCTGATGCGACCAAAGGGGCTCCCTCGTTGCGCCCTCGCCCTGAAAGGACACCGCAAGCACTTTGTGAAAACCTGCAGCGGTGGCATCAGCACCGGCAGGAAGAAGCTCAGCAACATCGACCTGAGTCTGTCAGGAGTCGCTGCGCCACATGTGCAAGGCAAGATGTCAGAAACAGCCCACACCATTGGTCCCAGAGTTGGGAGCATCCATCCCCTTGTGGCAACAAATGGCTTCTCAAGAACCCCCTCGGCACACCTCAAAACAGCTTTGCAGCAGTTTCCAAACAAGCTCAGGTGATATCCCCAACAGCATGCCGTGCTTTTTTTAGTGCTCGCACCACCCCGCAGCCCTCGCAGAACCTCGTGGAACCCCGGTGGAACCCTGGTGGAACCCTCGTGGAACCTTACCTCAGGGCCGCCCCGAACCACCCCGGAGCCTATCTGGGCTGAGACCCCAAAGCTTTCAGCTGTTGGGGAAAAAACAAGAGGCCCAGGCCCCCCGTTCGACCCCCAGCCTCAAACCAAACAAGCCGAGAGGCAGGCAGCCGTGGGGCCAAAGGGGCACACTTTGAGCATACCATCCAGGACTCTGCCAGAGCCACAGGCCACCACCTCACGAATCTGTGCAGCCTGGATCGGCCTATGGCCATGTATGGTTTGCTGTAGGGGTTCATATGGTTTCCCTTGAACCAAACAAAAAGGGAGACCCTTCATGGACTCACGAAGTCATGAAGTTGCTTGGCCTCTCTTGTGGAAGCAGAGTGAGGTCTGGAATGCTCCATGAAATCGCTGCTGTTGCAGAGTGAACAAGTTGAAACCTTCTGTCCGTCCAACGGATGCAACCAAGGGCACACATATCTTAAATCGCTTTGTCAGCCAAGGATTCAAGAACCGTTCATTGGGCTACAGCAAAATGGCGACATGAACCACACAGAGGTGGCACTTGCCACTTGTCTTGACGCCCTAGAGGCGAGTGGCTTTGAATGGCTTGCTTCAAATAACACATCCGCACGCCAAGCACAACGTCCGAGGTGCACATTGGCGGCTCGGAGCTGGAGTTCCTGCGAGGCGCGCAAAGGACGAAGAGCTGTCCTCTGCGCTGCAAATTGGGACACAAATCAAATGAGCTGAAATCCATGCTTCAAATCCCGCCTCAGCACCGAGCAAACTGCATCAAAGACCTGCTGCGCCTGGCAAGTCCGCACGCAACAGCATGAGCAGTGCTGAAACAAACACGAGCTAGCAGATTGAACCCTGTCACAATGTTTCGTGGCCGTGGCAGCTGAGGAGATAGCTAATCCATTCCTTCCAGAATGTCTTTCTTTCGCTCTCCCGAAGGCGCAAAACAAGCTTGGATGGTCGCAAGGCCCTCTGCAAGCGGTGCGCGAGCTTCTGATCTCGGTATCTGCTGACATCTGCCACGATACCCGTTGTTGGAAGCTGCAGTTCCGATCGCCACGCACCTCTTTCCCAGCACCACGAAATCAGCTTTTTTAGCAAGGGCTCGAATGAAATGCTACCATTCCCAATTGCCCAGTGGCTAAGGGAGCAAGGCTGGAACAATATTGGGGCTGGGTGAATCACAAAACATGGAATCGCCAAAGGAATCTATGTCAAACCCGCTCGCGGCATTGTGTATGCGTTCAATAGGGGTGTGGACTCCTCAAAATGGAATCTGGTGTTCCTCGCGGTTTTCCTTTCAACCAACTTAAAACAGGAACCCAGAAACCAACCGATGTGTTCCTTCATGGGGGCTGACCCAGTGGTACTCAGAAAAGACACCTATCAGCACAAAGATCGGGGTTCCTGTTCTTGGCTTGGGCCTCCAGCACCCCACCGTAGGCCCAGCCGCCGATGCGGAGGCTGAACCCATGCAGCAGCAGGTCCCCTCAAGTCGACCGGGGAGATGGATGCGGAAGGGGTGGAGCACCTACTAGGGTCACCATATCTCGGTTGCTTTATGCTCCCCTGCTAAAAGCTTGACTTTTAGTGGTTTAATGGAAAACTCACTAGTTGGCAAAAAGTTAAAGTCCTAACCAAAGATATTGTGGTTTTCAACATCAGCCTGTTGGATCCAGTGTGCCATCTATTTTCACCCAGTACCCTGAACATAGAAACCCCTCGTACCCTGAACATGAACCCCCCCGACATCAATCATGAAATGAATGGACCCCCTTGCTGCTAACACCAGGACATATCGCCCCGAAAGCGGATTATGCTTGCCCCCTTGACAACGAGGTCACCGCGCTTGATGCAGAAACACTGAATAACGGCATGTAGACGACTCCATTGTACAAAACAATTGGCAATATCCCGAAGGGCACTTATCACAAGCTGCAAACACGAGCTTGCCGCAACCTTGCCAAGATGATACGGCTGTCACGGTCAACCAGAACGCAGTCCGAAATCACTTTTCCCTGCAGTCCGCCAAATCTAGATGAAGAAAGCACTCGCTTCTTGGAAAAAAAAACCACCAAAAACAGTTCTCCATCCAACTTTACTAGTTGTTTTACACCCCGACCCGGACTCCACCATTGCAGCGATTAATGAGTACGGCAACAATGACCCTTCCTCTCTGGCAGCCAGAAGTCCGAAAGTAGGGCACAGTTTCTCTTGCCTGGCTGTCGGCTTTGCAGAGGTAAAACAACAAGACCTTGCCAAAGATGAAACCTGCGGACTTTTGAGAGCCTCACTCCTGCATTAAGCAGAAACTTTCTAGCTTGAATTTGCCCACTCTTCAGTTCCCAGAATTGGGGAAGCAATCAACGGAAGTCCTCCCCACAACTTCTTCGTCACTTGGCCGGCAAAGTTTCACCCTTTAAACTTACACCCCGACAAAACCCTTTCGACATCCCCGCCTCCCGGCCAGGGCTGTGGGGTTGCCACCCCCTTTCGAAGGAAGGCGTCCAGGGCTGGCGTGCAGCCTCCATACTTCGGAGAGCCGGAGTGTCTAGGGCGAACCACACATGCACGTCCTTTTCGATTGTTGCAGAGGCGTAGGCATCAACCTGGTGATCTGGGTGTGACCGAACTAGATGAAATAGGCGGCGACCTATGAAATCATGCCCCACCCCAGCTGCGAAGCTCATACAGTAAATGCTTGGTCTTGCAATTGGCGCGCAACTCTGACACGTGTAGATGGCACAAGCAATTCAGGAAACATGAAGTCCGCTGTAGCTGTCGATTTCAACAGGACGTTGACCCCTATGTTCGCAGTCTGAACTGAGAAACTACCGGGCAAGAAAATTGGCTTTCGTGGGTCAAGCTGAGGGGGAGGATTCTTATTTGAAGGTGATGTGCTCGGCATCTACTCGCGAGTCTGGACGCTGCCTGGACCGAACACACCCCACACGTCCCCAACTCACGCTCCCTTACACCTCCTGATTGGCTGAAAAGCCGTGGGAAAACACTAGCGATCCTTCTCAGGATTCATTTCAAACAACACTCTCAATTCACATGTTTCACAAGAATGGGATCCTCGAAATCAGCTGCCAAACGAGATGTTCAACATGGCCAAAATGTATACCCTCAGGCAACCTTGCTTCTGGGCAGCAATTCCGCCGACCGGTGCAGCTTTGCCCCGCCAGAAACAGACCCGCGCCTAGGCCCAGCGTCTGCCTCTGAAGCCGGCAGCAAGCCTACGAAAAGCATAAAGACCAAAGTAAGTGACAGCATTGGAGAGATAGTTTCGTGGGTGATGCCCAGCATGTACACCACACATAGAGGCTGTCAGCCCCGGGTCATCCGATGTTGACACTGGGTAGCATTGGAGATGATCAAGAATAGGCTCCCCTGTAGACTTGGAGTTCATAGGGGTCCACACTCAGGCCCATGTTTAGGAATGAATTAAGCAAAACCAAACATGGTGGGCCATGCCAATGGTCAGTCAAGGGATGAAATGAAGACCTGTCAGAGTGCCGATGCTTCATTTTGGGGGATGCGAAAACAAGCATAACATGGCCCGTAAGGGAAAACAGAGAAAGTGCGACTGACAAAGTGGAGCAAAACAAGCATTCTGAACTCCAGGCTCAGAATGTCCTTATGTGAGGACCCCATAATTTACCCAGACTTGAAACTGGGCTTCTGTGTATAAAAAGGGGTAAGCTTAGGTGTGGTTTTCGGGAACTCTGCTGGCTTAGGGTTGGTCTTGATGGGTTCCAAGAAGATAATTGGTTTGTGGGTGGGGGACAGCGGTTGGACACGGGTTTTAGCTTGGCAGGTTGGCTTGGGGAAGATATAGATTCAGGGCAGGGGTTATGAGTGACTTGGGTGGGTTGAAAACTGGTTTCGTGGTTCAGGGAGGGTTTTGGGCAGCGGTAGAGTTGGGGAAAGTGGGTTTAGCGTAGCTCCAGGACCTGTCACTCAAAACTTGCTCGACCTCCATACCATGGTTGCTCGGGTCTTCGCCCCCAAAGCTTGGCAAAAACCATGACAGGGTTGCTCCAAAGTCGGGTTTTCGGAAAAAAACAACACCTATTTATAGTCCTTTCTTGCTGGTCCGACGTGCAGGGCATGAGAAATGGAATGACCTCAAGAAAAACCATCCGACCCAGTGGATTCCTTCATCAAAACATTCCCAACACCCGTTCCACGGTCATTCCCTACTGAGCACCATCAAGAAAAGGAGCAGGGTAAAGTTGGTGGCTCGTCTTCGTGTTGATGGTGGCCTTTTTTGTTTGTGGTTGGCCTTCGTCTGGGGCCGATACGGGCACTGCGATTGAATTGGGGTTTAAAGACAAGCCATGGAACAGCAACAGCTGAGAGGGACCACGATGATTTTTCAGCCCTGCAACGAGGGATCTGATTGGGAGACGCTTCCGATCAAACGTGACGACAATGATAGGAACGGCTGTGCTTTAAACGGGGAAGCAAAAAGAAACCAACAAAATGGGATGGGGGTGGGCGAATTTGATGCAAACCCAACTGGACCTTTCCCTGCAAGCGTGCTTCGAATGCGCCAAAGTGCCTCAACTTCTGCGCTGTTGATGCATCGCGCCAAGACGCGCTCCACGTACTCCCAGCGCAATTCAGGCGGCGCCTGCAGGAGCCATGGTCCAAAGTTACGAAAGGCTTCCCCAGTCAGTCCCCTGTTTCTTCTGGGAGTCGAAGTCCCCTGTAGCTGAGTGCCCCATGTCCCTGATCTCGTAGTTTTGCCCAAGCCTCAGTCCAGGATTCCAAGGCTTGGAGATTGATTTGCTCAGAAAACGGTTTTGGATGAGGCCAACGAGCTTCGGCGAACCTAGCCAACGAAGCCACCTATTCTCACAGAGAGGTTATGGCCTAAGCGATCCACAAAAGGCTTGGGACTTTAATTCCTTAGGCGAACAAAGCCACCTAAAAAGGGCCCGTATTGTTCATTTAAGTTTCGATGATGTATCCTTCTTACATTTATTTCCTGATCTTGTCATATCTCTCCTTTTCAACCCCAGATCGTATTCTGCCAAACATGTTCTCATTTTCTTTATTGCGCCTCCCGCCCCCTCAGTTCTCAGATGCAGGCGTGTGTTGGCGCAAGAACTGTCTCTAGTCACTTACGTGCTGGCAATCACCGTGCTTGCTCATCACAAGTGTTCGAGGTTGAGTGAGTTGCCAGGCAACAGAACGTCGGAAAACCTTAATTCAAATTGCGTTGAGCTGACGTTGCTATTTTGCAGTAAATTTATTGTTGCATGTGTGTGTGTGTGCGTGTGCGCGTTCCTGATGACCGTTTGCTACAGAGACGCCTTTGCGCTGAGGGTTCGCGATGAAAATCCATGAGTCAGCGACGGCCCGCCAATACCACATATCTCGCAGCAGAACCCACACTTCTCAATTCCAGGCACGCGCGTTGCACAGCCCTGCCCAGTCGCCTCGCAGTCCAAATGCGCAGCCGCTAGAAGGCCAGAGGCCTCGGTAGGTGCCGGGGATGCTGGTCACAAGCCTTGTGCACCTGTACATGCGCAACTTCAACGCTTACATCTATATGTGAGCCTTAGCTACTGCAAAGTGCCCGTGACATGGTACCTTTTGTATCCAGCAAACTGAGCCCCAGCTGCGAGTGATCAGCCAGCAGCATGCTTGAGGCCGCGCAGTTGGAATAACGTTTTGGTGCCTGCGCGGTTGCAGTCTAGCTAGGTGGAGACTGTCCGAAGTCCGATGTTGCGAAACTGTTTTGGCTTTTTTTTGCAGATATTGCAATGGACAAAACCCCCAAAAAGCGACACAAAAGCACTGCAACAAACAGTTCAGCTATGGTTGGGGTAGTGTTTTTTGTTTTTGGGTCCAGTGGTTGAGTGTGAATGTCGGGTATCATGCGCGACATGGTGCGCCACAATTGCCAGATGCTGCGCCGCGTTTGCGAACCAAGCTGAGAGCCTCGGACATGTTGCGCAACATGTGCTGCTTGTTCCAAAGACTTTCTTTTTTTAGATGGCCTGGAACCACGATTCCCATTTCACATCATTTCAGGTAGAGGCCTTTCATGTTCGATGTAGGAGGTGCCCCGTTTGACCCTCATGTGCGAGGGCAAGGAGGAAAATGATGTGACAAATGCTGAAACATGCCGCATGTTGATTCCATGTTGATCCATGTTGATTCAAGCCAAAGCTTTCTTATGATTAGCTCGGCTCAGTTCGTGATAAGTTGAAATTGCCCGGACTTAGATAAGGGTAATCAACTTTTTGAAATTGAAACTGAGTTCAATGTAAATTTGCAAATTCAGCAGTTGTTCTCTCCAGTTGTGTTTTGCTCCTGGAACGCATAAGGACATGCCATTGCTCAAAGTTGAACTTGCTTTGAACGTGAAGCTGCATTTTTGAATGCGATCTTCTTCTGCTGCATTTATCAGGTAAGCAACATAAATTCAACAGGATTTGCTGACAAGTTGAAATAGAATATAAATGACATCATATTGGGTAGAATTGACTTAGAGTGTAAATGGAACTGCACAAACACATGGAGCAACTTTATGACTGATTTGGATTTCAATTGGCAATTTAGATAAGAATGAGCTCCTTTCTTCCAAATTGAAGGCTTGCTGAATTTCACGTTTAAAAGATAAGTGTAGGACAACGATAACAGAGTTGTTTGCAGGCACGCTGAAGGCTGACAACGTGTCCTCTGTGTACTCCTCTTATTCTGAGAAGTTGTTTATATGCAGCATCGCTTACTACACGTAGATATGCTGCTGGAAAAATGTTTAGGAAATCTTGGCTCTTGAATCCCATTTACCTCAAAGTGCCTTTAAAAAACCGTTTCTCAAGAATCAATGTCCCAGATTCTAGATGTCTGGGGAATCTTGAGTCTAAAACCACTGAAACTAACGCGCGTAAAACTATAAGCATAGATGTATATATCTATGTATGAAATCCCTTGCGCAGGCATCGCATGTTTCAGGCTTGACTTTTTCACTCAGTCACATTGCGAAGCGTGAGCGGGACGCACTCGTAGCCTCGTAGCTGGGGCTCAATGTGCCGGATACAAAAAGTACGATGTCAGGGGCGCTGTGCAGTAGCTAAGACTCACAGCGGGGTAGCGGAGCTGGTCTCACAGGGAGTCAGCCGTCATGGCATTGGGCGTGGAAGAAGGATGAGGCGCCTGGAGATGTTCGACGAGAGCAACCCTGCGTGCCACAAGTAGTGGAAGCAAAGAGCGCAGCGGGTGATCGCAGGGTTGCCAACTACGGCGCTGAAAGAGAAGTACGGCGCCAGGCTAAAGGCGAGGCAGGGGCACGTTTGGAGGGTCTTGAAATAGATGATCTTCGGAAAAAAAAAAGTGGTGATAAGAGATGAAAACGGCCTACCGCCAGAGGATCCCACTGAGGGTGATTGTAGATTGCAAACCTGTTTACGATCATGCGCAAGGTGATGGAATCGTCATACGGGACAACCGGCAGGCCATTAACATGTTTCTTGTTCGACGGGATCTTCGGGAGGAAGAAGGACTACCCTACGGTGGGTTGCCGCTTCACAGATGTTGGCAGACTGCTTAACCAAGGTGTCGACCTCCCTGATGCCTGTCGAGATCGGGTTACTGAGGGCGCTGGCGTGGAAGAGATTGGAAAAGGAGCGGAGAAGGGAAGATGCCTGGAACATGTAAAGGGGTGTGTGTGAGCAGGAATCGCAAGTTCCAGGCTTGACTTTTTCACTCAGTCGTAAGGTTGAAGATTGACGATTCCATAAACAAAACTGTTCAGAGAATCGCTATTGCTGACCGCCCAAACAGCATTTAGCTTGGTTCAACACGGATATTTTTAAGATTTACTAACCTATGCACAGTTTCTGTGGAGTGTCAATCCTCGATCCACAGGAACAAATAGTCTGTTGTTGTTGGGGGGGCTTGGCTGGCGAACAGCTAAGGCGGTACTGAGGCTGTTCTAGGTCGATCCCGGGAAACAAACTTACAACTGTTGCATTGCTTGAGCAAGTTCGTCCAATATGGTGCTTGGGGAGCTGGCCAGGGGCAAAGCTTGTCCATCAGGCCAAGTTTCGTTGACATGGGAAGTGCTCAAATTCCAGTACAGTAATAATTTGGGCCATAAGCATTCAACGGAGATTTCTCCTACCTCATATTAAAGTATTATGCAGGCAGTGTTCAGAGTTTCTTCAGCTCTACCCAGCATTCCCTTGGATCTAAGCTTGAAGATTCCAAAACAATTTATTCCTGGCCAGACCCGAAAAGATGTGAGTTCGTTCAACAAAGCATTAAGCGTAAAGTTGCTGCCCGATGGATCTCTGAAACGTGTTCTGTGGAATCTCCAATCTTCAATATTCGATCCACTGGGAACAAGTAAAGATGCTAAGGTAATCTCACCTTCCTGTGAAATTGACACAGTTTGGCCGAACAATGTGAGCATCAATGAAGCCGTGAGGAACTAACAACCCGGAATAGTAACCTCACCGTGACTAATCTGCCACCATGAAGCATTGCCCTGAGCCATGCAGATGTAGCCCTCCTCACCTTATGCCAACCACGAACTGCAGGTGCACGGTCACGCAGCTTCACCGAATCCAGTTTATCTATTTTCTGATGTCCAGGGACATGCATTTAACAAACACTGAGAGCCACCTCAGGCTGAAGAAACGCGGCAAAAAGCTTCTCATTCTCCCAAGCCTTCCTCCCGTTCCGACAACACTGTGTTTTCCCCGGAAGCTACTCTCATCCAAATCAGTTACCTATTCACAATCAGAAAGATACGTAGGTCCCCATCCTCTCTGATCAATCAGGAGCCATCCGTGCCAAGGATGTGGCATAATTTCATGACCGGCGCAGCGCAGGGAATCTGAAGGGCGCTGCAATCAGTTTTGGGAAACCAAGGGCAGGGCAGTGCTGGCACAAGGTCTGCAAAAGTAACAACCACGATCAACTGCTGGGTATCCCGCAGATCAGCATCTTACATCAGCTCATCGAGCCTGCTTTCCAGTGCACCCTGTATATATCCCAGTTCAGCAAACGCTCGAACCGCAGAGCATCGGCGAGTCGTTGTCGACCCGCTGCTTTTGGGGATTGCATTCCAAGACAGGACACATCCAAATGGTCGGGGGCGAATAACATCATCTAGAACCAAACAACACAAAGCACCGGCCCCTCTTCGTCGCTCGCTGCGCAAGGGGCCATCTGCCAGTGGAGTGCACACTTCGTGACGACGTGGCAAGGTTCGCCTGAGGCCCGCAGGCAGAAACAGATTGGCGAAACTCCTTGGGGGTTAATTCCATAGATTTGCAAGGGAATCGATGCCCCAGCTTTGTGAGCCCTGAATGAAGGGTGCTCCCAAGATCGGCAGCTTCTCTCACGCACAGGTGACAGTTTCACGTTTATCTAATCTCTGTAAACTCTTGGCTATCGTCCGATTTATGCTTCAAGACCTCAACTGCATGGGCCGTGAAGTGCAAATAGAGATAGCATTGGCAGTCGGCCTAACACCGCACATGCAACCTGGTCTCAGCAGCGACATGCCAAAGTTTCAGAGAATGAAACATGCACCCTTGCCTGCCACTCCAAGACATGTGTGCGTGTCCGTGTGCGCCCTCCTTCTGCGACCCAGCCATACGCCTTGCTGATCCCCTGCCATAAATATGATTCGAGGTTTGCAATCCACAGCTTCCAAAGAAAGGCGCAGGATGCACAAGGTTGCTGAATCGTATGACTTGGTGGGGCGTACGCTCGCAAACCAGTCGGGGTACTTTTCTGATTGTGTGTGTGAGCCCTTGTCACGCCTGTTTAGCGAACGGGGCAGAGTCCCCGAGCACAATCCCCCATTGCAGGGTGGTTGAGAAACACAAAGACATAAACATGACAGAATGAGGGTCTAGTTTACCTGAACAACAACCCCTCACTCGGGCGTCGAGCTCCGGGGATTTGGGGGCAACTCAATCTCTTTTCTCCTGGTAAAGCGTCTGGCAGATTTGCACATCCCATCACAAAACAACCAGTACGTCACCAATTCTGAGAACAACCCACACAACTTGGCAAAGTGTGGAATTGGATCTTGTGCCACTCTCCCACACCCCGGCTTTGGAAGGTTTGCACCCAGGCAAGCCGTTTAAACCCTCAGAGTTCAGAGTAATTGTCGTTTCGTCTGGGTTCGCTCTATAAAACCCAAGAGGCTCCCCACTTTAAGACACACGCAAACACTGTGAAACACAGACAAAGGGATCCCCTCCTGCTACCTTTCGTTGGGCTTCGATTTGGGTATATATTTCTTGAGAACCAAAGAAAACCCAACATGTTTGGGCGGGTCCCCTATTTACCAACATTTGCAGCCCCCGACCCTTCAGCCTCCGCAGCGGCCAGCGCAAAGAAAGCGCCAGCCGCGGCGCCAGCGGGCGCAGCGCCTTGGCCAGGCGCGCCAAGAGCGCCAGGCCCGCGCCGTCGGCCTCGTCTTCAACGCTTCGGGGCCTCCGACTGACCGGAACGTATTCTCGCTGCGCTAGGCAGGGAATGAGAAATGGAATGAAGCTGGGGACTTCCTTAAAGGAAACCAGAGGGGATTTATAGGTGTCATTCCCTCATTCCCTGCTGAGAACCAGCAAGTAATGCCAACAAAAACTTGGGAACCATGGAAACCCCGATTTTGGCGTCGATCCGTTCTATCTTAATTTCAGTCGGGTCCAAAGCGTACCTGGCCTTTTGGGTCATAAGACCCGAACAGTAGCACATCCCTCCCCTCTCCAGCCCCCAACACCCCCTCCCCCCCGCCCGGCAAACCCCAAAGAGGACAACCTTTTTGTTGGAAAACTGCAAAAACGGCAAACAAGAGGAAAGGGCGAGGATTTGTCCTCCATCAACAGCTTGAAGAATCCCAACGGGACCACACGCTGCAGAAAACACTTTGATGTGCAAAGCATTGGTAGATTCCTAGATATCAAGGAATCTACTTAAATATCACGGTCATGCAAAAAAAAATAGATGGATTCCTCTTGGGTAACTTACAAAAGCGCAAACGCTTGCGCGCGCGCGCGCGCGCGCGCCTTCGCGTGCGCCGCGTTTGAAAAGTAGGTCTTAAGCGAGGGCTCTTGGCAGCTCAACTTCCCAGTACGAAAGTAGCACGCGAAGCGCACCTCAACAACTCTGTCTCGAAGGTTAACTTCTGGAAGGTAGCGCACGAAGTGTGCTTTGGCAGAAGAGGCTCGAACATTGCAACTGGTCAGAACGATAGCAAATGAAGTGCGCATTGTCCGCTCTGGCTCACAAATCGCCTTTTCGTGTCACGGTCACGAGTTCGCCATGGGAGCCGAAGTTTGTGCGGCTTGCGCGGAGACACGGAGTCTTCGGGATTTCCTGCCCAGCTTTGCGAAGAAAAGCAAATCAACATGGCCAGCACTGCGATTGAAAGCAGGATGCTTCGCATTGGCTGACTGACCAATGATAGCCAAAATTGTCCAGAAGGGTATTCAGACATCAAGAACCCAATGTCTTCATCGAGGTCACAATGTTTCAGTACCAGAGTACACTCAGTACGTACAAGTCGTGTACACTCAAGCAACGAGGCTGCTAAAATGCACAAGGAGTACAGCATGCTTTTGATCATCTCCAGACACCGATGCTCTTGTAGAATGATGCATTAGAGTATCCATGAGTAAGCGCAACCTTAGAATGATGCTAGCAAAGCCCCCACTGCGCCATAACCTAAGCAACGTACGTGGGCACGAGACTCTGCCAGTGACATCGGTTGCTTGATCCCGTTCCGAGCCGGGCTGCTGGGCTCAGGAAAACCTCCAGTGGCAGGCGCTCCTCTGGCAGCAGTGGCAGTGGACCCCAGCGCAACCTGATCCAATTGAAAAGGTTTGTGGGGATCTGTCCCCGGCGTTGGGAGCAAAGGAGAGACCGGCTTGGCATTTCATGATTTCATGAGTCATTGTGCCACGATCAACTTCAGCAATGGGGTGTTTTTTTTGGGGGGGGGTTGCTCACTAAGCTTGATTCGCGCTTCGAGGCCTCTGTACAAAACAATGGCTCAAGGTCTGATCTGGTTTTCGGTCGAAGAAATTTAGAGGAACCTGCCATTCGAGCTCTCCTCCCGCTCAGGTCGCCCATCAATACCGGCGAGGCTCCGGTTCAGCCCCCTCCAGGACTGTCATGCACCGGGGGTGTAATTACCCTTGTAGGCTCTAGATTTTGCAGCCCTTGTGCAAAAAAGGGGGGTATCAGCCAGGGCACTCAGCGCTTAGGCCAGGGAATCCTGCCGCGGAGGCCTTGAAGCGACAAAAAAAAGACAACGACACCTCTCTCGACCTCGATTAAAAGCAGTGTGTGATGGCCTCGGTGTTGCTTTCCCTGTGCTGTAATCTGAACCATCACACGTGCGGAGCTGCTGACTTTGTCTTATTCCGCCCGCTAAACACCTGAAACTATCGAACTCCACACTCGTCAAGGCTGGATTCTGACAAGCAAGGTGCCAGCGCCCAACAGCTGGCGGCAAGTTTCAGATCCAGATGCCACTCTTCACGCCCTGACTGAGCACTTCACAGCTTTCGATGCTGAGCATCAGCAAATTGAGAAACCGGCATTTGCAGCATGGGCTGCGCACTGACAATTCGGCAGCTTCACAGGCTGATGATTCCCGTGAATCAAGGCAAAGCTGAGAAACCAACCACTGACAAGCAGCCGAAAACTGCAAGCTCAAGTGCCAGAAGCCAAACATAACACGCCTAACAAATGCCACCAAAGCCTCAAGTACCGATGACCCAACAAAACAAAACAGTGCCCGCAAACAATGCAGGGAACACGCATGGTCCAAAGGCGGCGTGGCTTAGGCACCTTCTGCACTCTCCTGCCTCCCTCAGCGCTGCTAAGACCTGGCTGCCGCCCGGGCCGCTGAGGCGCAGAGTGGGCAGCACCGGACCGGCCTCGCCTTGCCCAATACCCCCAGGGGGGGGGGGGGGGAACCAACGAGCCAACAAACCTCCCCCGCCCCCCCCCCCCCAAAAAAAAAAAAAAAAGTAAGGAAGTTTGCTTATTAGTCTGAACAATGACTGACATCAACACACTTTTCACAGGTTTGCACTGGGAGGCAAGCTGCAAGCCAAAGCAGAGATCAGCCCCCAGCAACCCCCGGCCCGCGCACTCCTGCGTTCCAGGACCCAAAGCAGTTCTTTGGGCCAGACTCAAGGGATCACGGGTCACATGAAAATTGCCACGTCCATGAATCTGGAACAGTATGCCAGCCAGAAAAGAAAAGACATGGAGCCCAAAGAAACGGGATTTCTGTTCAAGTGAACAAAACCCCTTGGTCAACAGGCCTGTCCCCCCGCACCTTGAAGCCGACGGACTTTGGTTGGCCAGTGCTCACTTTCTCGGGGCTTCCGCACAAGAACCTCTGCTTGGGCCCGCCACTCAGGGGACGGGGGCGCCTTCCGCTTCCGGCAGAGCTTCCGAGAGCAGCATGCCGCCTCGAGAAGTCGGCCGGGCCAATCGGGGGACAGCAAGAGGAAGCCAAACCGAGTGGATGAAGTGTGAAGTCACAAGTCCAAGTTGACGTTTTTGCTTTTCTGGCCAAGTTGACGTTCACAGACCAAGTCCTGGAACACCTTGAATTATGAAATGGCTGGTCAGAAAGTTTGTCAGCCCTCGATGGACCGCAGTCCAAGAGGGAAACCTAGCTTGTGCTGAGCTATGGCTTTAGCAGGAAGCCTTCGCAGAGCAATCCACATCTGCAGCCGATCCAGGTTGCTGTCTCTGGTGGCACCGTGCACTTCGCATGATCCCTGCTCCGGGGGATCTGGCGGAGATCAGCTTTGCACTGCGATGTGTGTGGCCCACTCTAAAAGGAACGAACAACTGCTCAACAGCCAAACGAGCGTTGAATACACAGGTTTCACGGACACGCAACGTTGGGCGAAGTTGAGCCAGCGCCAAACAACTGTGTCGGAACCACTTTTTTCTGCCCCGCCAGCGCAACTCCAAATAAGTTTGTTGATTCGCGCCAAGCCATCATTTGCAGCGAGATGAGTACCAAATGATGTGCTTCGCACAGGATGTACACCCCGGCCGTTCGCTTTGGCCGGGAGGCACGGCGGCTGCCTCATCTTTAGCGCCGCCGCATGCAACGCGGCCATGGACCCGCAGCCGAGCCTTGGTCGACCCAAGAGGTCGACCACATCCAGGCGAATCGATCGGCAGTTGAGATGGACACATGAATGGAATAAACTGCTACCCGGACACCAACTAATTAACATGGGAGTGCACAAAGACCCCCTCCAAAAGTAAAGTACACAGGTCTGTGCACTTCCATGTTAGTCGATGGGAGGGAAATCCCAGCAGGTGTTTGCCGTCCGCAGAACGTTTCTGTTGGGCCGACGCAAATTCCAGAGGCCAGCGCTCTCTTTTGCCCTCACCATGTCTGCGCCGAGTGTCTGTGGGGTCGCCATGGCGATCCACTGCTTTGGCTCAGCATCCACCCCGAGGAGACCTTTCCCAGCACTCGTGCAACATGGGTGTCGCTAGTCTTCAATCGGGAAACCCCCAACATGGTTGGTTTCCTCTTGGTTTCCCTTTGGTTTCCCTTTGAAACCAAAAGGGTCCCAAAAAAGACACGCCCAAATCGAAGCTGGCTGTTCAGCCAGACTTTCGTGGTATTTGAAAGCTGGATCAAGGCCTTTCTTCGCCAACACTTCGTAGTACAAGCAAATTCGCCAACAGCATGCCAACTGAGCCGACGGAAATCCTGGAGGGTTCAATCGCGGCTCGAGGCGCACTCTTCTCCCTGAAGCATCAGCAAGGTGCCGCGGCAGCCGTCGCCCCAACGCGGCCAGCCCAGAACCGCAGTCTCCCCCAACAGCCACACCTGCCGCTGCGCCAGGTCAACCTAGGCCACGAGACACGCGGCAGGGAACAAACCTCTGCAGGAAACATGACACAAAAACCGTCCAAAGAATGGTAAAATTACCAGCCAAAGCCAGCAATCAGTGAATACCACGAGAAGCGACATTGCTTGGACAACTTCTCTTTCCCTTGATAAAGGAAGGCACGCGACAGCCGGAAGATCGCCCATTCATCTCCGTGGTTCGGTGCGAAGCCCAACTTGGCTCCGAGGCGCCGCGCCCAGGTGCTCGAAGCGCTCCAGCAGCCCGGGAGGACCGTGCAGCAGCAGCTGGCCTTCGATTCGATTCGCGTCCGACTGTCCGACGAAGGAGCGTCGGACCTTCGTGCATTCGAACCAGCATGGTGGCAGGCAACTCACTGTGGATATGCATCAGTTCCACTGCTAGAATCTGAAAGGGAGATTCTGCATACCTCAGGGGCAGGGTAATGGTGCCACCATAACAACCAACACCAGCAACCGTTGAGAACAAGTCCAGCCCTGCCTCTAACACCAACCACCAAAGCAGCTCGCCACGACATCGCCATTTCGGTCGCATTCTGCGCGCGAACAAGTCTGCAGCTCGGGTTAGCTAAACCTCGCAGAACGCAGCACCAAGGGACCGATGTGGTAAAGTCAAATATCTTCCCAATCCTGCTGAAGATTCACCAGAACGGAAATTCGGACAGACTTTCTGCTCACAAATGTCTCGCAAAGTTGGGGTGAAGCACACTCAGGGGTATGCACATTGAGATACTTGCTAGTGACACTTGAGCCACAGATTGCAGGTGTCGGCAGGCTAGGGCCTCTGACATGCACCTGTGATCCTCGCACTTTACCCGTTGGCATGAATCACAAAGCCAAGAAACAACACACGAGCTAGGCGTTCCTTGTCATAGCCAGCTACAACAAGATGGGCAAGCAACAAAGGGTTCGCTGCCCATGACTCTTGTAGATGAGCGGCCTCTAAATAAATTATAGTGTGAGAGCTAGCGCTCATGATTCACCCAGCACAAAGGCGCTGTGATCCTTTCATCTCTGTACGTGCTCGCAAAGTCCCTCGTCTTTGCAGAACGATGCTTTGATGTCTGTGACTGGCAAAACTGCAACTGCCTGCCAACAGTTCCCGTCTAAGGCATTGCGGGAACGCCGCGCACTCACAGATCCTGGGCCAAAGCGTGCCGTGTGACTGCAGCCTACGCAAAAAAGTGGCAAGTGGGTATGTGTCAAAACAGGGGACCCCAAAAAAGATTGGTCTCCTGTTGGATGCCCTTCAAACCAACCCCCAAAAGGGGTACATTGAAAACAACACGCACTCAGTCTCAAGTCAGTACAGCTGGATAAGTTGAAGCAAAATGTGGTGTCCCAAAATGCACAGGACTCGATTGAAACGGCCCCCTAATTCCAATTTGTCCTGGCTGCAATTGTTGCTGGAGGAACAACCACTTGGCACGCCTTGGGCTGAGCTACCATCTCGATTTGGGGGCAGTGCCCATCTTTGTTTCTGCTTGGGTCAGTTGCAGTTGTTGTTGCCACTCAGTAGGTTTTGTTCGACTCGGCTTGGGCCAGTCCAAGAGATGTCTCTGGATGCCAAGTATGATACAGCTTCAAGCTCCCAAGCCCCAAAGCCTCTTCCGAATGTCGATCTACAATCTTTGGAGCCAAGTCGTCAAGGCAATGAGACAAAATCTTGCCCGTCGCTATATGCGCCTTTCAAAGTAGGGCACGCACAAGCTCAAAGGCACGTGCCATGATGTTGTCACCTTCTAAACTGAAGCACCTGCTATATATATATATACATATGGCTATGAATTTTTTTAGGGGTCTGTAACGCGCGACGCGGCACGAATCTTGTTACGGAGGTCTGTAACGGAGGTCCTTGTTACGCAGGTCTGTAACGGGAAAAAATCCTGACAAGCAGAATCAGGAGCGCATCAATGCAAGCCAAGCTGCGGCAAAAAGCAGGGTCGCTCGCTCGCCAGGGCTGGCGTTGCGTCTGTAACGAGGTGTGTGACGGCTATGTAACCAGGTCTGTAACGAGGCAAAGCAAAGCGCAGTACGCAAAGGCGCCTCCGCAGCACCAGCTATTCAACGCAGGCCAAGCTGCGGCAAAAAGGGGGGGCGCTGGCCCGGGCTGGGGTTGGGTCTGTAACGAGGTATGTAACGGCTGTGTAACGAGGTCTGTAACGAGGCAAAGCAAAGCGCAGTATGCAAAGCGCGCCTCCGCAGCACCAGCTATTCAACGCACCCAAGCTGCGCCGAAAAGGGGGGGCGCTGGCCAGGGCTGGGGTTGGGTCTGTAACGAGGTATGTAACGGCTGTGTAACGAGGTCTGTAACGAGGCAAAGCCAAGCGCAGTACGCAAAGCGCGCCTCCGCAGCACCAGCTATTCAACGCACCCAAGCTGCGCCGAAAAGGGGGGGCGCTGGCCAGGGCTGGGGTTGGGTCTGTAACGAGGTATGTAACGGCTGTGTAACGAGGTCTGTAACGAGGCAAAGCCAAGCGCAGTACGCAAAGCGCGCCTCCGAAGCAACGCAAGCCAAGCTGCGGCAAAAAGGGGGGGGGGGCTGGGGTTGGGTCTGTAACAAGGTATGTAACGGCTGTGTAACGAGGTCTGTAACGAGGCAAAGCAAAGCGCAGTATGCAAAGCGCGCCTCCGCAGCACCAGCTATTCAACGCAAGCAAAGCTGCAGCAAAAAGCAGGGTCGCTGGCCCGGGCTGGGGTTGGGTCTGTAACGAGGTATGTAACGGCTATGTACGAGGTCTGTAACGAGGCAAAGCAAAGCACAGTACGCAAAGCGCCTCCGCAGCTCCAGCTTGATTGCAGCTATTCAACACAAGCCAGGCTGCGGCAAAAAGAGGGCAGTCATGTCACTGGCCCGGTTTGTTCATCTGAGGTGTGGAACGAGGGTGTGTAACGAGGGTGTGCCACGAGGGGTGTGTAACGAGGGGTGTGTAACGAGCCAGCTGGTCTTGTTACAGAGGTCTGTAACGAGGTCTGTAACGAATGTCCGCCGCGGCTCTGTTACAGACCCCTCAAAAAAATTCACTGCCATATGTATATGGGATTTGCTTCCTGTGGAATGTAGCTGCTGCAAGTCCATGGCTGACAAACAACATACCCTGCTACATGGACAAAAACAAGAGCCCTTGGACAACATGCAGATGTGTGTAAATACGCGCACTCTCCTGTTTCAGCTCGTCTTTTGTCATTATGAACACGTGAGCGATAGATCAGTTTAAGCTAGTTTCATGCAAAACACTACACTCACCTCACCCGCCCCAATCAATCCTCCCAACAGTTCCATTTGCCCTCCACCACGCACCAACCCGCAAAAAAGAACGATGCAAGATAATCAACACGCCTCGTCATCGTCGTTGATGGCCACGTTCTGAGCGTCTTGCAGCTCCTGGCAAATCTCATCCCGATCTGGATTGAGGTGACCCAACACTGCCCAAAAAGGGCCAACACAGGGTGTGATTTCCGGCCTTGGCAATTGAGCGTGAGCAAAATCATACCAATGACCCTAGAAAGCTGCTGTTGCTTGCAACACAGCGATACTGAAGCCGGAATATACGAAGGGTCCATGTCTTTATGCGCGAGGAAATACTCCAAAGCAGCCAAAGCAATGAAGCCTGATCAACGCAACTGTCCGTTTACTGGTCGCTGCTTAGGAGCCATGGGCCTGGGCCGGTGCTCCCGTAGCTCTGCGACTTCGCCCTGACTTGTAAGCAGATCTAAGGATGCGTTGATTCTGTTGCAACTGAGGAACAAGGACATATTGTGATGCATAACTTTCTACCAGTGTTTTCTCAAACAACAAGAGACCTGACAGAATCACTAGCAAAATTGAAAAGGATTGAAATGTTGGAAAACTGCAACATCAAGGCCATGTAGCTTGATATCTCCCCCGATCTATTTGTGTGTAAGCAGCTGTTGCTGATGTGTTGATGCTGCTCGTTAAATTGTGTTTAAACATATATTTTTTAAAAAAATATGTAGGCGAGTGCTTCAAATCTGCTCGTATTCCCGTCTAAAATCTCACCTGTTTTCCAATTCTGTCCCGGGGCACAGGAGCATACTTCATGGTTTTATGCGTGCTCAAGATCTTCTTAGTGGGTGTTGAATTGATTTTGCGTGAGTTTTGGGTTGTTGGCTCGGTTTTTGTACTGTCGTTAGGGGCTCAAGGCGATTTGGGTGTTGGGAGTTTCAGGGTGGGAAGTTTGACTTAGGATCATTGAGCGATGGGCATCTCGGGTTCTGACTTGGAATGGTTTGCGAGTTCTGGCAGTTTTCAGAAAGGGCTGGAGGAAGGCATCTTGATTTGTTCAAGGCCAGTTTACATTCAATGTTGGATGGCTTCAGGTGGGCTGATGGCAAATCTAGGATGACTTCCTGGTTGGTTGGAAATGAGATTGCTTTGGGGTAGGCCTAGGGTTAGCTTTGGGTTGGTGGTTGGATGAGTTTTGTGGTAGGCGTTGGTGGTATCAGGCAGGCGCCAGGCCTTCAGGCTTTATATTTTCAGATCAATGTGCTTTTTGGTTCGGGTGGGTTTAGGCGGGTTTAGGATGGGTTAGGTTCATTTCGGGTGAGCTTCACTTTCGTGAATTGTTTAGGTTTGGTTTAGGGTGGTGTCAGAGCCTCTGGGTCGGTCGGTACTCAGTTCTTTGCTGCTTGCTCGCTGGTTGGCTCTGGCTCCGAGTGGCCATCCATCCAGCTAGCTCCAGCTAGCTGGATCATAGGGATGACAAGGGGGGAAAGCTCACCAAGCTCTGTCAATGCACAAGGCCCGAAGGGCGCCTGAAGGGCACCCCACCCTAAAAATGAGACCTCGTGGCTGTTCGTTAGGCGCATTTCAATCACAGGCCCTTCCCCTCGGTAACCCGAGTCGCCTTCTCGTGCTGTGCAATGAGCGACTGATCGATCTGAATCTCAGGAGCCTGCCAAGGACTCGAAGCGCCCGAAAAGGACAGTGACCGGTCCACGGATAAAAAGCTTACGAGCTTTGCAAGATACAAAGGGCTACCGAAAAATCCAGGGGTCAGAACTCACCACAGATCCTTCAAGAGAACTCTGCCACTGGCGCGGTGGGAGAGTGGTTCCCAGAGAAGCCAAAGGAAACCAAACAAATTTCGATCGGTTTGGTCAACGCGCATTCGTGCATGGCCCCGGGTACAGCAAACCCTCCCCTCTCTTTCGTGCCGGCCTTTGCGAACTGCCCCACGAACTGCAGGTTACCCTGGTTGGTCAATCGCCGGGCCAGCCTTAGGAATCGTTGGCTGGGCAATGCTGCCCCGTGCACGTGCATGTTGGTTGGCTTTCAAACGGCACCTCATGGATAGATCTCTTGTTGAGGCATCTTGGTGAACAGTCAAGCGCTTGAAGGTTAAATGAGGGGACAAACACATGACCAAGACATCCAGTTCTCGACGATGATTAACCTCCATTGAGGGTAAGACAGTGGCAACATAAGCCAACTGCTGTGAGCTCAAAGAACCCAGAGGCTAGTACTTATGCAAGTTTGCACTCCGTACTCTCAAGCCGACAAGAAGCTTGAGAAGACTGCAAGATGCTAACGCAGCTGCTGCGCAACTGCGAATGTCCGACGCCAAGAGGCACCCCGCCCTCAAGGTATGAACTCGCCGGCCCCACCAACAGATGACACGGGACGAACACATGTCTTATCTCCGAGGGCCGCGCCACAAGAAGGGCTTCTCGAAGTTGTAGTTGCTCCTCTCAACAGAATAGTGCCACGTGAGAGTCGAACACTTCCTTCAACCAGGGGGGCATTGATCCGTGCACCAAGATTGCAACCCAAGACCCCACTTGCCCAGTGGCAGAACAACGAATGCCCTTTTCCTGTCCAAAAGGATGCCAACCGGCCACTGGGAAACTGGTTGATACAAGGCCCTTCCTCTTGCTTGGCAATCAGCCGCACCTGGCACTCAGGTCGTAGTACTGCAGGTTCCTCTTCCTGTGAAACTGGATATTCTTGGCCTCGCGCGGAAAATGTACCAACGCCACATGAGTTACCGTGGAAATATGAAACAGTTACCCCGACTTTACATGAGAAAATTAGGGTCAGTCCTGTTGGTTGAAACTTTGTGAATTCAGTGAGTTCGAGCCTCTGAATTGAGCATAGCTTCCAGCGCATGTCGACCGCAAGCATGGAACCATGGGAAAACTAAAGGCCTGGCTACAGTGGCCGGTGTGAACACACATGAACTCATGCTTCGGGTGTATACATAGTCTGGGTATCTTTGCCAAATTTGTGCCCCTACTTGGATTGCGGAAATCCCCCTGCCATATTATGTAAGACTCTTTGGAGTCAAAGTCAGACTTCCGCCATGCGGACACAGAGTAAAGACTGCAAAGGCCACCTGCAGGGATGCCGGATCACTTGTCCAGTATCAGCGGAAACACCGCTCATCAAACATGCAAGCTCGGAAAGGGCGGGATCTGCCATCACAGGAAACACACGAAAATTGACAAACAATCAGAGCTTCAAACCTTGTGATCATAAACACCAACACGAGTCCAGCAAAGTCCCGGGTTCAATATGGCCGCACGGTTGCCCCACTGCGGCCGGCCTTCACCTGACGGTCCTTCACATCCACCTGGCTGGAATTCGATGGAAGTGGCGGGTGGGTGACACCTAGAGTTCATGTGTGTGATGCCCCTCTAGATTCCCTCTTGGAAAGTGCTACAAGAATGCTGAAGAGTGTAGCAATTGGTGTGGGGCATCTAGCATGCTGTCTAGAACCTAGGTCAAGCCAGGACAGTTGTAGCTATCACATGATCACATGGCCGACCACGCAAAGAACATTCAGAATGTGTCAGAATAGGATTCAAAAAGAAGCCGCCCGGAAACAAACAATTGAAGGGGTCTGGCAAGCAAGCCAAGCAGGCAGGCAGGCAAAGCCAGCAATGAAGCAAGGAAGCAAGAACCCAATGTCACAATTCCTTTCAGCAAATCCCTCATTGTGAGGTTGCCTCAGTTGCAGTTCTACACATGTAAATTGTTGCGCGCAAACCCAAGAAGCTGAACATTGATGCGGGTGATATCCGCCCAGAGTGCCAAGCGGCCAAGGGCAAAAAGAGAATGATGCAAGACCGACCAAAAATGACGAAAATGCCTGTCTCTGCATCACGATGGCTCAGGAACTTGGTTTGCTGGGTCCCTGTTCCTGGTCTTGGCTGACACAAGTGTGCAATACAGTTGGGGCAGCCTTGCGCAGTGGTACTACCCTAAAATAGACTTGAATATCGCCCTCGCTCGTTGGCTTGTTGGGTTGTTCCCCTTTCAACTTCGGTGTTGTGACAGGTGGCAGACTCAGCCACCTCGTGGTGGCCCCTGTCTGTTCGGACGCGGTAAACCCAGGATTGTCAAATGTAGGAAGCACGAGTCATAAATCCCACCTAGATGGTGTCTAGTAAAGGGTCCCAAAGTAAAGTTCATACCCGCCTCTTTTTGTTGTCTGCTTCTTGCAATCTAAATCAGGCAGCTCCAGGGCCTTCGACAAATCCAACGAAAACTCGCAAGACGGACCCTGCAACCTGCGGACAACTGGCGGTGTCCCGGCCTTGTTGCCCACGAGCACAATGGGGATGTTCTCGCACACTCGCACGATGTCGCGGTGCCAGTTCGGCACGTTCTGCCAGGGAACCGCAAGTGACACAAGACCCAGACGTCTGGCTCTGGCACCCACAAGCAACTATGGGCCTCATCATCCGCTTAGATATTCAAAAACATGCTAGACGACTGGAGAGTGCATCCAAAACAAGAAAATAATCTCTTGAGGCCACCGTCAGCTGGCGCAGGCAAACACGCATGCGAATCAGGCGTTTGCTGAAAAGCCATCTCAAACGGCTCTGCTGGTACAGCGGAATGCAGATAAAGCAAGAAGCCAACTCAACAATTAAGCCAGTTCAGATATTGCGCTAGTCAAATGCAAGCGAAACCAGAAACTACACAGAGTATACCTCTGGCCAAGCCAAGCAAAGCCCTCCATGCAGTGCACGCCCTTTCTGTCACGGTTTCCGGTACGGTTTCCACTGGGGTGGAGCTGCCGCGCAAATGTCCGAAGGGCACTTCAAGTAACCGGCCCAAGTTGCATGTGCTAGTGACGATCACTTTCGAGTGCGCATAGTCAGTACGCACAAGCATGAGAAGTCAAAAGAACTCGCGAGGCAAGCTCCCTGTGAGGCTCTTTGGCCAACAGACTGGCCAACTCGATGGTTGACTTCCGCAACCACGGGGCCGGCTGGAGCTCAATGAGACAGGCGTCTCAGTGCCAGCCTCTTGAAAGGCAAACTACGTAAGTGCCAAAATCACTCCTTCAATTCACAATGGCTTAAACACATCTGCGTATGGTGTGAAGGTCAAGCCAAGCTGTTCTGCTCAGTCGGGCACCGAGATGCTGAACTTGCTCTGTTTTTGAAACTGACCTGCAGAACGCAACCAACTTTGTCTAGCCCTCTCCGGATGGTTGAACCCCCAAGTAACCACCAGCCTGTGCCGTACAAACTGATGGACCGCTCGTTTCGCCTTTGCACATGCTCCTTTGAACGGTCAAACGACCAGCCCGCATATGTGCTTATAGCATGTGTATATATATATATATATGCTCACCCCCCCCCCCCCCAGGGCCTACCTTTTCACTTGCACAGTCTAGAAAAACTGATAATTTCAACAGTAGGGGGTGAGCATATATATATATATATATATAAATATGTACATTTTTCTTTGATGTTAGACACAGTTTCCTTTATATATTACTCTGCTGCTAGAAGCTCAAACCAGGTCATTCAAAGTATCTCTTTTTTTCTTGTAGCAATGATGTCAGAAGCCAGTGAAATCTCTCTGGAAACGGCCCTGAATGCCACCAACGCGCTCTTCCTCAAGAACTTGTCCAAGCCCAATGTCGTGGACTTGCCTCGTGGTCCTGTCTCGCCTACTGACCTTCCTCTTGATCATCCCAAGGACAAGAGCAAGGCAAAGCACTTCTTCGACTTTGTTGGCCCTATAGCCTTCGATGCTACTTTGCAATCTCAAGTCAGCAGCGCGGCTAAGGATGGCCGCTTTGCGGACATGCCAGCGCCCTTTCGCTTGAAGACTTCTCCTGGTATGTCATATGGTCTTCAACTTGTTGTTCTTCCTCTTCCTAATGCGCAGCACTTCCTCCTGAAGCACATCATCTTCCCGGATCAAGTTAAGGCTGAGTTCGTCTCCACCCTTTGTCATGGAGAAGTTCATACCGTTTCCTGGCAAGCCAATGCCAAGAATACCAAGAAGGCCATCCAGTACATGCTGGAGAAGATGGGTGGCTTCCAGGTCCAGTCCTTTGCTCTTCAGGCAAGTGGCAACGGTGGCATGCAGTCCGACAACAAAAACAACAACTTCTTCCAGGGCCTCACAGAAGAGAACATCGACCAAGGCTTCGACTTCATCGAGGCACATGGGCCTAGAACCCACCACAGCAACACGCAGCTGAGATGGATCTCGAAGCAGTTCATCTCAGACGAGAGTCCCATTCAGACTTGGCCGGAGCGGCTCATCAAAGAAGCTCTGCGGAACCTCATGAACGACGGCGTCTTGGCGCTCCCTGTCTATGACTTCCCCCTCACGCTCGTGGATGTGGAGCCCTCGGTTTTGACTGTGTTGGAGGAAATCTTTCCTTGCTTCACGGACAAAGCCTGCGGCATGCATGGAGTCCCCAACGTAGGCAAGACGCCTCTTGGGCGCGCCATTGCGATGGCCATGTCACGCTACTGGGTTCAAAAACTGAACTCAAAGAACGAGCCCGGCTTCCGCGAGGCCTGCGAGTTCGACTTCTTCAGAGGTGAAGCTGGTCGCCAAGATCGTCCGGATATCTTTGACGATGGCTCACTGGCTGAACAGCCCATGAGGAAGTTGAAGGGCTTCTGCGACGTGGGCAACACGGTCCTCACAAAAGAAAGGTGGGGCGCCGCAAAGTTCCCGCAGGGCCAGCTGCGTCTTTATATGTCCAACGACATCGATCTCGCCGCAGAGCCCTCCTTCGAGAACGCAGGGTATTCCATTTCTCACCAGCAGTTCATGCAGATGGTTGAGCCGGCGTGGATGAAGGGTTCGTCAATCTCTGACGTCATGGCGGTCATGAAGCGCACGTGTGTCTTGCTCATCACGAACGACTTCCTCTACTGGCGTCTTCCTAGTGAGAAAGAGGTGAGGGTCGAACGCAAGCGCCTCGATGAAAGTAAGTCTTTGTTGCGCAGCTCAGGAGGCTTGAAGTACATGCAGTACCGCAAGGGTGATCGCAGCGCGCCGGCCGACTTGGACCTTCATCTTCGCTGGGAACGAGCCTGGATGACGTCGATCATGGAGAACAAGGGTCGTGACCTGCCGCCAAGGCCAGTGGAAATCGATTACTCGGCATCGCGGAGGCTGTTTGGATCCAGCGGACCAAATACCATCCTCCAGGTGCGAGTTCCTGATCAGCAGCCACAGCCCCTTGCTGCAGAGCCTGCTCCATCCTCTACTTCAGCACTTTCCGCTCCTCCAGCGCCTGCACTCATCAAAAAGGAGCCGAACGTCTTCGCCCGTAAGTTGTCGGCCATGCACCTCACCGTCATCGACTTGGAGAGTCCGCCCAAGAAGAAACTCAAGGCTTCGGCTTCGGCTTTCCCCGCTGAGACCGAGATCGAGGAGATGGACGTGGCGTCTGAGGAAGATGTCTTTGACCACGGTGGTGACCTTCAGCGTAACAGTGGTGATGAGGCTGAGTAGACGCGGTGCCAGATAGGAAAGCAGTTTTGCAAGCGCGCAAGTTCGAAAAGGCCGATGCATTTGTCACTTGTCTGCTTTTGCCTCAAGGTATTGCATCACTGCGCACGCTCATTCTGACAGCATCTTGGCCCTGAGTCAGTGTAGCCACTCTTTGTTTTTGTAGCGTCATGCCTAAAAAAGTCATGAAGCGTGCGGTCAAGCGTCAAGCGCCTTGGCCTGAGCCAAAGAGAGGCAAAGCGCGCGCCAACAAGCGCCCAGCAAGTACGAAGGCTCACGCGGTCAAGACTCCGTACGTACGCCACGGCACCCTGACCATGAAGTCCAGGCCTCACAGGGAAAGGTGGGGAAGATCGGTCATGAACTTCTTGTCCTTGAAGGGCATCAGGCTGATCCACCTCTTGAAGAAAGACCGCATCCTTCCTGAGTGGAAGGGGAAGCTCTGCCCCAAATGCGGGAAAGGTGTCTTGGGAAGCTCGAGTACAGAAAGGACCGAAGCCAGTGGGTGCACCGCTGTGGGGCAAAGAAGTGCCAGGCTCGCATTCGCATCGAAGACTTCCACCCCATCTTCTACGCTGGCGCCGGGAACTCAACTACTTCTTTGTCCACACAAGCCGCCATCTTGTTCTGTGCAGTCGCTGGTGTACCTCGGAACGCTACCCACCTGGTCTTGGATGTCGACCACAAGGCAGTGGAGAGGATCTACGCCAACAACGATATCGCCAGGGCCCGCTACGTCCACAAGAAAGAGAAGTCCATCACCTATGGTGGCACCCAGAAATGGAAGGATGTGGAGGCTGACGAGGTGGACTTGGGTAAGGGTGAAGATCCTGATGCGGTTCGGGCTGATCGGGTGGTGAAATGGGAGCAGTGGGGAGGGCTTGTGGAGAGGGGACGCCCGAGCTCTTTGCGGCTGTTTAAGCTCAAGCCGCGCCTCACGAAGAAGCGAGCGCCTGGACCAGGGCCGATCAGGAAGCGGGAGTGGCTGCCGATCGGGCGGAAATTCCTGTCGAACAAGCATGTGGTGCTCCACACGGATGGTGCCAAGGCGTACAAGGTGAAGCTGCCGAATGTGGCCCATTGCAATGTCGTGCACCAGAAGAAAAAAGTCATCGTGCAAGGCAAGGTCAAGTGGGTCAAACCCCACTATACGAAGATCTATGACGTGAAGACCCCGGACGGTGACAAGATCCGCGTCAAATCGGGCACGCAAATCGTGGATCGGTTTTGGGGCTTCTTGCGCAACCACTTGAAGAATGTCAACCGCACCCCCGGGAGCGCCGTCCTGAGCCGGCGAATTCGATCGGCCCAATGGGCTTACTGGCACAAGGGTGTCAACCTGTGGGAGGCCACAGGCAATATGCTGCAGACTTTGCAGCAGTAGGCCCGAGACGCTTATAGAAACTTCTGGAAAGTTTTGCAGCACGATGCTTCTGTGAAAAAGCTCAGCAATCCAATCTGTCTTCCATTCTTCAGAAACAAGTAAAGGATTTGTTGTTTTTTGTGATTTTTTGGAGCCTGTGCAGGTTTTAAGCGCCCAAGGCTCCAAAACCTGCACAGGCTCAAAAAATGCAAAAAATCCAAACCTGGAAGCCCCAAAACCTGCACAGGCTCAAAAAAATGCAAAAAATGCAAAAAGCCAGACCAATCAAGCCCTGACCTCTGACATTGCATCTGGGTTTTGCATTTGTTGCATTTCTTGAGCCTGTGCAGGTTTTGGAGCTTTCAGGTTTGGATTTTTTGCATTTTTTTGAGCCTGTGCAGGTTTTAAGCACCCAAGGCTCCAAAACCTGCACAGGCTCAAAAAAATGCAAAAAATCCAAACCTGGACGCCTCAAAACCTGCACAGGCTCCAAAAAATGCAAAAAATGCAAAAGTCCAGACCACTCA